GCTTCCACTTGGCCCTGAAGGATGAATCTCCTTAGAATGAGGGTGTGGATGAGAGCTGTTCCTTTTTGAGGTTGCCGCTACCTTTGAGACATTGATATCACAGGAGAACGTAGTTTTCAAAGGGTCTCTAAAATAGCCCTTTAAGAAACAGTACCCTGGCCAATATGAACCTGCCTCTCCTTTACACATCATGTCCAGTTCATAGCCTGCTTCCTTCTTTCTAAAATACTGTAAGCAAGGCCATGTAGTATCTAGAATCTATAAAAATCCAGTATACTGATATTATAAACATTTTTCCATCCAGAGTTGTATCTTGTGATCTATTACTTCTTTTGTGCATAATTTCTCTTTATCTATAAAAGAAATAGGAAAATACTAAAACCTGTGACAAAAAAAAAAAAAAAAAAATCTCCAAAGGTGGTTCCTGTGGGATCTGCCAGCAGCAAAGTGATTAAATAATTTATTTACAAAATAGGCTTTATTCAACCACAATTTCAAAAGACAGGACTAAGGAAAAAATGCTTCTATACTTACCTTGGCCAAATATGATTTCAGTTTAAAATTCACCTATCCGGTTTCTGCTGACTATCTCAAGGTACTCTGAAAATAATATTGCATTAAACAGTATATTTCTTTCACATGCACATCATCCTAAAATTTTCCAGTTTGTAGTTGAGCAAACTTAAGTACAAAGAGTGGCCCCAGGCTTGGACAGGAAGTCAGTATTCTTTTGCTGAGTGGTTTTCAGCAAAAGGGGAAGCAGGTCTGTAGTAGGCAGCCCATGGATTACCCACCAGATTTAGAGCAGATTCTTCCAGTATCTACCCTCATGTATCCCTTCCTTTTGGACATGTATCTCTTCCCTCTCAAGTCATCCTTTACATTTTCCTATGTAAACACTGCCGAGGTTTTTCCATTTTTCACTTGACTCTTACCATAAGACTTGAAAAGGCTTTTGTGTATGAGGATAGATATATTTGAATAGTATTGTCAAAGATTTGACAGCCTCTCTTTTAAAAGAGAAACCAAGGTGGTAAGTCTCATTTTTCATATAGGTGGCTCAATTTTCTTTCAGGACCTTGGCTAGCATCTGCTTAAAACCTCTCCAACTTGCCTGTGAATTATCTAACAACCACAATCACTAGAAAAATGACTTAGATGTAATTTTGTGGTAAATTTGACCAAGAGAATTTGGAGTCTTATTTTCATGGGGCAAGTTTCTTCATCCCAGCTTTCCATATGTTTGTTATTCAACATGTGGTGTGGGACCAGCAGTAGCATCACCTTGGTGCCTGTAAGAAATGTCGAATCTCAGGTCCCATTCCAAACCCACTGAATCAGAATCCACAGCTTACGATTTCTAGATTTCCAGCACATTAATCAACAGTCTGGTGGCTAGAGGAAAAGCAGTGCTTGCTATATTTTATGATCCCCAAACCAAGACGTGTGATCTGACAATGGGGAAAATGATGTAATGTGGGCACTGTTGTCAAAAATCTTGACCCTGTGGTTGGTGCCCCCGCCCCCAGGACCCTGTGCATGTTGGTGCTGAGCCAGGTGTGCCTGTCCTGCTCATTAAGAATCAGATGTAAAACAAATGCCCAGGCAGAGGTTGGCCTTTGCTTTCTCCAGAACTTTGTTTTATTACCAACACTTGCCAGTAACAAATGCCCCTTTAAAGGTGTGTTACTTTCCATCCATAATTCCCCACTTTGGCCACTCAGAGATTTTAAGGGGCTGGGAACATCTTCAGTGCTAAAACGGATCTGAACACTAACAAATGCCATCTTGCTCCGGTGTTCCAGGGCACGTAGGGGCACCGCTTCCCTGCAATCATATCAAGCTCGTTGATGTTGAGGAACTGAACTATTGGGCCTGCAAAGGAGAGGGAGAGGTAAACAAGAATTTAGCCATTCATGCCTGTGGCTGCTACGTGTAGTGAGTAAAAACAAACAAGAACAGTAGGGATGGAATGATTTTCCTTTTGCCTTGTGTATAAAGTCATTTTAAACTACTGATTAATTTGACTCAGCTCAACTCAGCATCTCCTCTCCTGTTTATGAGGCAACCAAGAGCCAGTGCTGGGACTGAGCTGGTCTAAATCAAGATTTGGAATTCCCAGACTTTTAAATTAATTAATTAATTTTTTTTTTTTTTTTTTTTTTTTTTTTTTTGAGACGGAGTCTCGCTCTGCCGCCCAGGCTGGAGTGCAGTGGCCGGATCTCAGCTCACTGCAAGCTCCGTCTCCCGGGTTTACGCCATTCTCCTGCCTCAGCCTCCCCAGTAGCTGGGACTACAGGCGCCCGCCACCTCGCCTGGCTAGTTTTTTGTATTTTTTAGTAGAGACGGGGTTTCACCATGTTAGCCAGGATGGTCTCGATCTCCCGACCTCGTGATCCGCCCGTCTCGGCCTCCCAAAGTGCTGGGATTACAGGCTTGAGCCACCGCGCCCGGCCTTTTTTTTTTTTTTTTTTTGAGATGGAGTCTCGCTCTGTCGTCCGGGCTGGAGTGCAGTGGCGCGATCTCGGCTCACTGCAACCTCTGCCTCCTGGGTTCACTCCATTCTCCTGCCTCAGCCTCCTGAGTAGGTGGGACTACAGGCACCACCACCATGCCTGGCTACTTTTTTTCATATTTTTAGTAGAGACGGGGTTTCACCGGGTTAGCCAGGATGGTCTCGATCTCCTGACCTCGTGATCCACCCACCTCGGCCTCCCAAAGTGCTGGGATTATAGGCGTGAGCCACCGTGTCCGGTCCTTAATTAATTAATTTTTTAGTAGAGACAAGGCCTTGCTCTGTCACCCAGGCTGGAGTGCAGTGGCGTGGACATAGTCCACTGAACTCAAGACCATAGCCTCAAACTCCTGGGCTCAAGCAGCTCTCCTGCTTCAGTCTCTCAAGTAGCTAGGACCACAGGCACGTGTCACCATGCCAAGATAACTTTTCAATTTTTTTGGTAGAGACTGGGTCTTGCTGTGTTGCCCAGGCTGGTCTTAAACTCCTGGCCTCAAGCAATCCTTCCTGCCTCGGCTTCCCAAAGCACTGAGATTACAGGTGCTAGCCATCATGCCTAGCCCCAAACTTTTGTAAAAATTCATTTTTTCCCCTAACTGTGTCATGGCCTACTGCTGTGTGATTTGTCCCAGCAGAAATATGACCCTTTACAAATAGGCCAGATGGAGTAGATAGAGCTGGCCTGTACTTGTTCATTCCATGGGAGTGAGTGGGAATGACTGCCTGCTAATGGAGCAGGGGGCTGAAGCATCCCTGGTAGAATCAGCCAGCCATCAATATCTGTGATGAGTCCCCATCAAGTGTCACAGAGCAGCATGTGGCCAAGGCCAGAGGGCTCCTGAGGGAGAAGAGATGACAAAGGCCTAGGGTGGCCAGGGCAGCGGGGAAAGATGGGGAGGATATTGCTTGACAGAAGGCAGGAGACAGTTCAGACAGCTGCAGGCTGTTCCTCGTCCTCTGTTTCCATCCCTGCCATATCCACAGTGGCTTTCCTGATGGATAGTGCACCTTATCTCCGTATGCCTGGAGACAGCCTCCCATCTCCTCATTCCTCATGCTGTGGCTGAGAGAAGCCATGGTTTTTGTCCCATAGATATGTGTGAGAGGACCAAATGTGTTCAAAGGCTACTTGAAAGATCCAGACAGGACGAAGGAGGCCCTGGACAGCGATGGCTGGCTTCACACTGGAGACATCGGAAAATGGCTGCCGGTGTGTACGTTTGGAACCATGGAGCTCCAAACATTTTGGCAGTGGGAGGGTGTGTGGTCCAGGTCACTGAGACAGGAGTCTTCTCCAAATCCCTCCTGAAAATGAGTCATTCAGGAGCACCTCTGGGACCTGCGAGGAGGCTCTTCCTTCCCTGAGCCCCAGAGCTTCTTTCTCTTCTCACTCCGTCTCATGAAGGTGATGAGGGACCTGTGCAGGTAGGTGTGACTGAGGTCTTGGAGACTGAATTCCTATCCTTAATGGTTTCCAGAAAGACCTCTGACAGTGTGTGGAATCTGATGTGAAGTAGGAGGAACAGGGGGTACATGTCTCTGGGACGTCTGAGAAGGGCAAGCCCTGCAAGCCCACCAATGCTGGCCCCCAGCCAAAAGGTGGCACTGAGTGAAGGGGAAAGCTTGGAGACAGGTGGGAAGATGCTTTAGTTCCTGTGGCTTTGCTAGCAGTTGCTCATGTAACCTTGAGCAGAGCCTCATCCCCATCTGTGGCTTCACCTTGACTCACTTATAGAACAGGAGAACACGCCTTCATGGCATTCCTTGGCCATGGCCCCCAGCTTTTAGCCAAAACCACTTTGCCTAATTTTCTCTTTTTTTTTTTTTTTTGAGATGGAGTCTCACTCTGTCACCCAGGCTGGAGTGCAGTGGCGCAATCTCGGCCTACTGCAAGCTCCGCCTGCCAGGTTTATGCCATTCTCCTGCCTCAGCCTTCCGAGTAGCTGGGACTACAGGCGCCGCCACCACACCCAGCTAGTTTTGTTTTTTTTTTTTTTTTGTATTTTAGTAGAGATGGGGTTTCACCGTGTTAGCCAGGATGGTCTCGATCTCCTGACCTCGTGATCTGCCCGTCTCGGCCTCCCAAAGTGCTGAGATTACAGGCATGAGCCACCGCGCCCGGCCAATTCTCTCATTTTTAAAATAGGTATCATAACGTTGCTTACCTCTGAAGTTATTATGTTGTGCAAGATCTGGACTTTATCCTTTATTATTTATTTATGAAATGGAGTCTCGTTCTGTCACCCAGACTGGAGTGCAGTGACGAGATCTTGGCTCACTGCAATCTCCACCACCCAGGTTCAAGCGATTCTCCTGCCTCAGCCTCCCCAGTAGCTGGGACTACAGGTGCCCGCCATCACATCTGGCTAACTTTTTGTATTTTTGGTAGAGATAGGGTTTCAACATGTTGGCCAGGCTGATCTCAAACCCCTGACCTCAAGTTATCTGCCCATCTCAGCCTCCCAAAGTGCTGGGATTACAGGCATGAGTCACTGCACCTAGCCTGGATTTTATCCTTTAAAAATGTTTTAATAAAAGAAAGAAAAATAAAGTTATTTTTGTGAGGAACAAATGAGATTATGCCTGCAAAGCACTTAGCACAATGCCGGGCACATAGGAGATGCTTAGGTGAATTCTTTGACCAGAAAACGGCTGTCACTGGCACTGAGAACTCTTGCCTGGTGCAGCCCACCCCAGGAACCTCTCCTGTGTCTTTGGGAAGTACTAAGGTTTGGGTGGACATTTTGAGGTGTTGAGTTAATCAGGCACATGAATGATGTTGAGCCCATGGTGGGCCAAGTGGGCTGGTGAATGGATCTGCCCCTGCTTGGGCCTGTGTACTTCCCTTTGAGAAACCCTCATGCCTGCCCCAGACAAAGATGTATCTCCAGTGAGTGCCCTGGCCCAGGGACTCTGCTTAGGGAAGATATGCATGATTAGACAGTTCCCAACCCAATGTGATGGGCATGAGCTGGGGGCACACTGGGTGCACACTCACCTCGGGAGAGGCAGAGGAGGACAGGCGCCTACTGCATCCAAGTCTTAGGATATGAGTCATGTTCCAAGAAGAGGGAGTGGGAAGGACAATCAGGGTGTGATAGTAATATATGCTGAGTAGAGGCACTAGACATGTGAAGCAACTAATTCCAACTGAAGACCTATAGGTGTGGGAGAGAGAGGCTAGTGAGGTCAGCAGGCCCTAAACACCTGCAGAAGGTGGACTGTCCTGTCGGCTCAGGGAGCTTAGGCTTCAAGCCCCCTCACTTGCATTAGCCCCTTCCAAGGCCCTGCACTTCATTTTACCTGGTTTTTCTTAAAGAGGGCCCTCAATATTGTAAAAGCTTGAAGTCTCAGAAATCCCTGGATCTGCTGCTGATGCCCTGTAACTTGAATGAAACCATCCACCATTTAGAGGGTAATATGAAGCAAATAAATGGATTCATGTAAAGCACTTAGTGTTGTGCTTGAGCACAGAGCCTAAAGTTGCAGGCAGGTAGTCTGTGAGAGTCCATTATTTAAATTATTATTTTTAAATGATTTTTGAAATTTAATTAAAACTTATTGCAGTTATTGAGATACTTATTTTTCTATATTTCTCATGTAAAGCAAATCATGCATTCTTGACATAATTCAACTTAACCATGATGTGACTTTTAAAATAATATTTTTCTTGAAAATTGTGTTTGATCTTTCCATTTATATTCACAAATGAGATTGATCTGTAATTTACCTTTTATATACATCCCTATTATGGTTTTGTTGTCAGTTTATTGAATGAGTTGGTAAGTGGGTTTTTCCCCTGTTTTTTAGAAGAGTATGTTCAAGCTTTGAATGATTCATTCTTGAAATTTAGGTAGAGATCATCTATAAAGACATTTGTGCTTTAAAAAGTATTATTTTGAAATCATGTTAAATAGATCAAGGAATAAGTAAGCATAGTCTTCTGGTCCAGAAGGATCAGGATTCAAATCCTGGTTCCCCTAGCTCCTAGCTGTGTGGCTTTGGAGGATTTAACTAACCTTTCTGATCCTTATTTTCCTCATCTGTGAAACAGAGGGGACAACACTCAGCTAATGGACCATGAGGACCAAATAAGCTGGGGTAGGGAAAGCACCTGATGTCCAGCCTGGATTTTGAGCAAAACAGAGTCTGCTCATTTTTTCATTTTGGAGAGATTGCTCTGGCACTGGCAGATCAAGCAGATGGAGTGGAGACAGAGCGTGTGCCGAAGTCCAGTCAGGAAGTGGTTTTGCTGGGAGGAGGTGGATATGAGATGAATTTGTGAGCAAGGACAGGTGAGCCTGACCGCTGGAGATCCCAGGAGAGGCAAACAACAAGGTCATCTCCAGGTTTGGGGTTTGGAGGCTGGGGCAGGCTTGAGAAGCTTGGTCATGAGTTTCATATAGGAGCATGTTACATCCTCTGAGACAAACAGCCTAGTTTTTGAAGCATTCCAAGGGTATTTGGGTTCTGGATCTGGAGCTCAGTGAAGAGCTGGAAGCTTGGACTGACTTGGGAGTGACCAATGAAGAGAAAACGGTGTTTTCTCCAAGGTGCATTGTCAGTAGAGGTGAGGGGCAAGAGGCCCACCTAATCACCTTGGAAGCTCAAAAAGGTGGAGGAGAGTCAGGGAGGTGAGAACAGGTCCTGGAAGCCAGTGGCACCAGCACTCCCTGTCCAAGGAGGTGACCTGCCTGCTGCAGAAGTTCTGCAGGGGCCTGTGCACCTAGTGCCATCTGGCATGTCAGGTAGGAGTCACAGGGGCTCTGTCAGGTCTGTGCTCTATGCCAGGGGATGCAGAGGCTGCTCTTTAGGGGTGGAGACAGTAGCTGGGCAAGAGACCTGAGTTTGGTCTAAGGGAGTGAACCAAAGATGCTGGTGAGAAAAAGGGCAGCTGGAGCAAGGGTGTGTGCAAGAAGGGTGCCCTGATGGAAGGGCGGTGGGCCTCCAAGAAGGAGGAAGTGAGGATACCTGCTGCTAGGCATGAGGATGGCAGTGGTGGGAGGACTGTGTGGGTGGCTAACTGCTGAGGGGAAAGGACAGTGGATGCTCATGGCCCAGCAGAGCTTGGATGCCATCAACCTGCGGTGCACAGTGGTTCTCTCCAGGAGCCTTGCAGCTCCCTAAGAGCAGACACAACAGATGGAAAAGAAACTGGGGCAGGGTCTGCAGGGTGGGGTAGGGCAGGGGGTTACAGCACTGAGGAGCGAAGGCTTCAGGCTTGAGAGTGCCATGGTCTTATAAAGCTGTTTGTCCAACTCTACAGGCAGGAACTCTTAAAGTTATTGATCGGAAGAAGCACATATTTAAACTTGCTCAGGGAGAATATGTTGCACCCGAGAAGATTGAGAACATCTACATCCGGAGCCAACCTGTGGCACAAATCTATGTCCATGGGGACAGCTTAAAGGTGAGACCTCTGGGCTTCAGCCCTCCCACATATCCTGGGCATGCTGAAGAACCCAGATTAAACATTAATCTCCAATCAGACACCAGGATTCTCCTCTGCATTTTAAAACATGAGAGAAAACTCCTTTTTAAAGGAGAAATCTTACTTATAGTTTGCTAAAATGTAATTAGGTCAAGTAAGTTGTCTGAAGTAGTACTAATGAACATTCCCATTCCTTTTTGCTTATGCTCAACCTACTTCCAAGGATTTTTGAGATAAAATACTAGAGCAAGATTCAGGGTTTCTGCTGTTTTTATTTTTTATTTTAAAAATTATTATTATTATTATTATTATTATTATTGAGACAGGGTCTCGCTCTTTCACCCAGGCTGGAGTGCAGTGGCATAATCATGGCTCACTGCAGCCTCAACCTCCCTCCTGGGCTCTAGCCATCTTCCCACCTCATCCCTTTCTCCCTCCCTCCCCATCCCAATAGCTGGGACTACAGGTACACACCACTATGCCCAGCTTTTTTTTTTTTTTTTTTTTTTAACATTTTCAGTAGAGACGAGGTCTCACTATGTTGTCTAGGCTAGTCTCGAACTCCTGAGCTCGAGTGATTCTCCTCCTGCCTCAACCTTCCAAAGTGCTAGGATTAGAGGCATGAACCATCACACTTGGCCTGTTTTGATTTTTTTATATATGCAAATGAACTTTACAAAATTAATGAGTACTGCAAAAAAATGTACTAATGGTACTAGTACTAATATAGGTTACTAGAATTCAGTTATTTGGAGGAGTTTTATACTTATTTTCCTTTCAATAGTATTTAGATTTAAAGTCAGAAAGATCATGAATAGGCCGGGCGCAGTGGCTCAAGCCTGTAATTCCAGCACTTTGGGAGGCTGAGATGGGCGGATCACGAGGTCAGGAGATCGAGACCATCCTGGCTAACATGGTGAAACCCTGTCTCTACTAAAAAATACAAAAACCTAGCCAGGTGTGGTGGCGGGCCCTGTAGTCCCAGCTACTCGGGAGGCTGAGGCAGGAGAATGGCATAAACACAGGAGGCGGAGCTTGCAGTGAGCTGAGATCTGGCCACTGCACTCCAGCCTGGGCGACAGAGTGAGACTCTGTCTCAAAAAAAAAAAAAAAAAAAAAAAAAATCATGAATATATTCTATGATATCTAAGATATCAAATATATTCGCTCCATTACCCAGGCTGGAGTGCAGTGGCACAATCTCGGCTCACTGCAGCCTCTACACTCAGGGTTCAAGTGATTCCCTTGCCTCAGACTCCTGAGTAGCTGGGACTACAGGTGCCCACTATCATGTCTGGCTATTTTTTTTTTTTTTTGTATTTTTAGTAGAGACATGGTTTCACCATGTTGGCCAGACTGGTCTTGAACTCCTGACCTCAAGTGATCTGCCCGCCTCAGCCTCCCAAAGTGCTGGGATTACAGGTGTGAGCCACCATGCCCCACCTGATATCAGATATATTCTATACTATCATTGCATTTCTATAAATATTATGAAATTATTTTCAAAGAAATGCTTTAAAAATTAAAATAGGCCTGGCATGGTGGTTCACGCCTGTAATCCCAGCACTTTGGGAGACCAAGGCAGGAGGATTCCTTGAGCCCAGAAGTTCAAGACCAGTCTGGGTAACATGATGAAACCCTATCTCTACAAAAAATACAAAAATTAGCGTGCACCTGTAGTCCCAGGTACTCGGGAGGTTGAGATGGGAGGATCACTTGAGCTCAGGAGGTCGACGCTGCAGTGAGCCATGATCATACCACTGAACTCCTGCCTAGGCAACAGAGTGAAACCTTGTCTCAAAAGAAAAAATAAACAAAATGAAGAAGTCTTTCATGAATGAAAATCGTACTAATGAAACCATTTCAATGTGGTTTGGTAATGCTGGGAAACATTTGGTTTTTGGTTCATAGAATTTGGATCAGAGAGTTGTTTGATCAGCCTCCTAAAGATGTGCTGATCTGAGATTTGCATGAGAATCAAAGGTACATATCAGTCTAACTTTACTGATTCTTAATGTCCTTAAACTTATTTTTTATATAAAACTAGGGGAATATATCAGATAATGAGTAGTGTGATATATTGGCAGAAATATTTTATGACATGAACAAATGTTTTATAAGCATATACTTAGTTTTTGAAAAAGGTGGAGTCTGAGAATTTTAATGCTGGACCACAAATAACCACTTTAAATGCGTTTGTCATGCCCGTGTTCTCCTTTGGTGAGTACTACAGGCCTTTTTGGTAGGCATTGTTGTGCCTGACCCTGAAGTTATGCCCTCCTGGGCCCAGAAGAGAGGAATTGAAGGAACATATGCAGATCTCTGCACAAGTAAGGTTGGTATCTTGGGGCTGTCTCCTGAAAGGTTACTGAATGTTTTATGATACCACATAATGAGAAGACAGAAAAGCTGTAGACCAGTGAAATTCAAGCTCGTACAGAATTTCTAACATTACTTTATACATGGTGGGGAGTCTAAACCAGAGATTTGTCTTCTTTTGTTACTGAAGAAACTCATATTTCTTCTTAGAAAGATTGACAAACATTTGGATTTTAAGCCAGGAGACATCACAGAAAGCTCATCCAGCCCTGTTGCTTTGTGGCTTAGAGGAGAGTCCAGGGAGGGTGGTAACTTGCCCAAGGTCACACAGCTGGTTAGCAGCAGAGTCAGATGTGAACATAGGCTTTCTGACTCACCTACCATGCTCCTTCAGATGGAAGGTGGATTTTGTGTCTACTGGGTGTAAACAGCTAGTCATGGAATAGAAAAAGTAGCACAATTCTTCCTGCTTAGAGTATTAGCTATTCACACCTTCCTGAAACCTTCTAATGGCACATGTAGAACTCTGTGGGGGAGGTCACTGTGCTCTGACTCAGTGCAGACCCTTGAGTCATATGGTCCATTTCTTAGCAGTAACCATAGACCCTCCCTCTCCTACTGGTCCCTGGGCCTTGGGCTCATCTGGGGGTAGCAAGATTCACCAGGCTGACCAAAAGGCTGCTTTAAAAAAAATTGAGTGGTCCATTAGCCCATTCATGGTCACTCCTTTGGCCATTTCAGGTACTTACTTGTTTGATGAGAGGTGGTAATTGGAGTGCTGCCAGGCAGTATCAGCCTCAGTTGTGGGCTGTGGGTTAGCATATGTTGGCACAATCACCAGTTGCACTTTACTCAAAAGTGTTGTTTCCTCTACCTCCATTTTTAAATGTGTTCTTGTCTTGTAATTTTTCTCATATGGTTTGATTCAGGATCTGAAGAAAGCCATTTTGGAAGATATGGTGAGGTTAGGAAAAGAAAGTGGACTCCATTCTTTTGAGCAGGTAACTGTTACCCTCCCCATACTTGTTACAGCCCTTTAGGCAGTGATGAAAATTAAATTAACCCATGGTGACCCTGACCTAGATTCCTGACTTTTCATGGTGTGGCCCGCCAGCAGGCTGTGCACCAATGGACCCTTGAAGGCCTGTTCCAAGCTGCCTCCTGAACCAAAATAGGTCACATGTCAAAAGAGATTGTACTCATCTTTATAATTACAAACTTTCTTAAGGCTAAGATAATACCCTAGCTATCACTAGTAAATCATGTGTATATTATCTGTCTTACAAACTTTCTGCATTAACGAAGACGACAGTCCTATCTTATTTTTATTTTTATTTTTATGGGGACTGTTTTCTTGGCTTCAGCAGACAAGGTTACCTGTTTGGAGGACATTGGAAAGATTGGTCTCCTCGGGCCAGTGATCTGTCAGCCCAGCATGCCCTCTGTAAAGAGGAGGAAACAGAGTGCTTTGGGAGAGGACACAGCAGTCCTCCAAGACTTTTTTTTTTTTTTTCCTGCAAGGTTGGGTTCTTATTGTAACTGAACTCATAAGCATACTTAGACTGACTTACATATACCATTTATACATCCTCTTTTGTCAAAAATTCAAAGAGAAAAATACTTCAAATGGAAAAATATTAATATACTGATTTTTAAAATTTCCTTAAATTTAAAATAATTGTTTTTGATACAAGTTTGTATCCCCAAATTTAATGACAGGGGTCTTCAAGTTTGACAAGAATCTTTAAATTTTGTATGTTCACTTAATAACCTAAAAACATTTAAAACCAGTTTAAAATATAAAACTCTTATAGTGCTTTAATTTTCAATTTAAAAAAATTTTCATGGATTAAAATTTTAATTTTTTAGTTTCAAACTAAGGAAATCTAAGCATAGTTTCAGGGTCTAAAAATACTGTTTTTCTTTTAAAATAGATCTTTACATTAATCCATTTTGAGAAACACTGCTTTACCCTCATCTGTCAGTATGTTTTAGGGCAATTTAGGCCTGGGTAAATAAATATTTTTTAAAAGTATGGAATCTGAGGCATTCAGGCAAGTTATATTTATCTTTCTAAAAGATAAAGGTCAATTTTGGCATACTATTATTTAAATTTCCAAATATGCTAGAACTGACTTCATTGCCCTTCCTCAGTGGTGAGGTATGTGATGGGATCCTCTGTGATCATGTGGACCACAAATGAGTGGTCGTAAGCCTGGTTGGTGTGGGCCTGTGTGGATTTGAAGGGCTGGCTGCAGCCTTTAAGCTGCAGTTCCCGCCGACATCCTGGTGCGTTCACAAGGCCTGCACGCCCCCTGCTGGTGTTTGGATGCGGGACCTGCCCCAGGGCACACAGAGTATATGACACCCAGATTCCTCTTCATGGAAAAAAATACCAACTCTTAAGATTATGCTTAAAAGGGACCTTTGGTTAAATTTCCAGTGTTAACCATTGCTCTAGTTAGAGCTTTCACTGAGAGGAGACATGTTCTTGACTTTCCACATGCCTTTCGCAGAGTTTCTGCTCTAATAATCTGCCCTCACCATGGTAACCTCAAATACAGGGAAGTCATGTGGGATCTCAGAGGCCTTTAGTTTTATTGCCAAGGCTGTCGCCTTTTGATTTTCTCTGTTCTCATTCTCCTCTTTGTTGGTCTATGGCATTCTCCCCACCACAGCCAGTGTGTGCCCTCAGCTGACCACAGGAAAGCAAAAACCAGGCCTCATGCCTGAGGAGGGTGTGCTCTCAGTTGTGATCCAAAGCCTAACATAAATTATTTCAGTTAATCCATAATCCATTGTCAGCTTGTCCTTTTCCCTCTTCCTCAAAAATGAATGGTCAATTAAGGCATAATTCTAATTAAACACACACACACACACATACACACACACACACAAATAACAAATTCGAGTTCAATATCCAGTTTAAGTCGTTTAACAAAAGCTTTAGGAGTTCAGACTTACTGGACTTGGTTGATCTGAATTAAACTTTGAATTAGAAAAACAATTGATGTAATTTAATTTCCAAGAACAGACAATTCCTAGAACTACGCCAACCATTATTAATTTATGGAGATCTTTGGAAGATATGTTTTCATGAGTAGACAGGTGGCTGGGAAGTATTTGAGCATACTTAACCATGATTAACTATTTGTTTGACATTGATATGCCTTATTAATTTGCATAGGCAATATAATGTGAACTTTGACACTTGATAGATTTTTAAATTTCTGGCTAATTAAGCACTTACTAAAAATATTTTCTTGTATTTCCTGTCATTGAAATGAACACTTACCTAACCAATTTGCCTTTAAATAAAAAATGAACATTTCCCTAACTCATGTAATTTTTTTTGCTTTATCTCTCCTGTCCTAAATTATTCATTCTGTATTTATTATCTATAAGCAATATTGTGTTAAAGGATTTCATTAAGACCATTGAAAAACTTAAAACACTATGTCTCTCTAAAATTATGAAAAGTTTGTGCTTTTATGAGTTGGCATAAATGGACAATTTTGAGGAATTTTATTCCAATGCCATATTTAAATGTTACAGTATTTTCTGAATTATTTTTAAAAATCCTGTAACATCTCTTTTCAGTGAAAAGAGTATGGTTTCAGGAAGGCAAGCTAACATTAGCCATCTCCTTTTTTCTTTTCCCAACAAAAACTTTGCTAATTAAAAAATGGAAATTCCAGTTTCATGAAGTGTTTGGCATAAAGAGAGAATAAGGACTCTCACACCTGTTGTTTACAAGTTCACAATTGGACAGTTTGGCTTTATGAGAAAATAATAATTATAAAAAATGAACATGTGCTTTATCATTGATTCACTTCTGAAAGAAACTATAGGTTTGTGGCCCATAGTTAAAGTCACTGTCAGTTAAACAACTGGCTGACTCATTTTTTTTCTACTTACTGCCTATAGTTTTTAGTCACTCAAGCAGGTCGTATAGGTATTTTCATAGAAGGATTTAAATAGTCCAATGGCCGTAGGTCAGATCAGACCAGGGACTGGCAGCCTAGCAGCAGTGCCGCTCTGACCTGCTCCCTAAGGGACTGAAAGGTGATCCCAGAGCAGGCTGCCATATTGCTTGATCTTCTGCAAGGCTGTATTTAATGATATAGTCTCTTCTCAGGCAGAACTAGTTTGCAGACAGCCACATGGAGCTGCAGATGTCCCACTCAGCCATTTAGGTTTGAGGAGGTAGCTGGCTCAGCAGATATTCAAAGCTACCTGTTGATGCAGTTCTTTCTTCCAAAGATCATAATGTTTTCTTTTACATTTCTACTTAACCATATAAATGATATTATATACCTCTCCTTATGAAATCTATATTTCCAGTACTGTATTTTTTTAGTAGTTTCTGCTTGTCACTGCTGGCTTTTCAAAGATATTCACCCCAAGTTCCCATACTGAACATAGACTCTTGTCCCAATTACACAATGTTCTCTACATGCTGTTAGGAATGCAGACAAGCAAAAACCCAGGCTACAACACTAATAAATTATATCTTGGCATTTGTATCTCCTTTTTAAAAGCATAGTATTAATTTTAATAACAAAAGAAGTTGGATAGATGGTTTGCACTTACCAGAAGTCTTTATGTGATAGTGCTTCTGCAGAAAGAGAAATTTTTTTTTGAAAAGTTAAGGATATTAGCACTGTCAATTTTTCAGTTTTTCATTTTGACAGTAAAGGTCAGTTACTACTACATTAAATCCCTGTAACTAAGATTAAATTTGATTTCGATTGTGTTAATGTTTTCTTTAGACAAATTAATTTTGTCATCAAATGGTGATTTCTAAACTTACTTAAGTAGAACTTAGATGACATCTTATGTAAAAATTGAGCATGCACAAAACATAAGAGCAGTGCTACTCAGGTTGGTTTAGGGCTTGAGCCAGAGCTTCTACACACACACTCTTACTCCTAAGCACCTCACCTCATCCTCCCACCCTTCTCCATCTCCTTTCTACCCTTACCTATCTAAACCCCACTTCTACACCATCCCTGGCAGTGGCCTCTGCAGATCACCTAGTTCTCAGTGCACTATGGTTTAAAAACGTCTCCCTTGGGATCTGTTTGCAATAAATATTGGGTCTCCTAGGATGGTTTATGTTTGGTAACAACAAATTAGGAAAAAAGTATATTCTATAGGATACAAAGAATAGCAGCCCTATTCCTTACTGAATCTGTGCTTCTTTGAATACCAAGCACACTGAGAGAGTTTTCAGACAAAACCCTTTTTACAATAACCATATCTGATTTTGAAACTCTTTTTTTTCCTTTTTCTGATTTTGAAACTCTTGATGATACATATCTCTAGCCAAGGTTTCCAGCTATTTAAGGTGATATCTATCTTTAGCCATAGATGATACCATAAAGATGATGCCCATCTTTAGGCAAGATTTCCACCTATTTAAATTGGATGTCCAAGTAGAAATCCCCTCAAAAACAATCTTCCCATTTCTCTTGGAGAGATCTCTCCAAAATGTGTATTCAGTCATACCATTGCCCTAACTAAAAATCTTCAGTATCTTACTATAGTATTTGGAATAAAATTTGCGCTCCTCCATAAACTGGCTCATCTACCACTTTAGCTTCATCCCTCACACTCTTTGCCTCTTATGTAACAAGAAACCACTTAGAGTTCCTTTTTCACACTCTGCCATTTCTCACTCCCATGGCTTTGTTTCGGGGTTGCCTCTGCCTATGATGCCCTTCTCCACCCACTTTTTCCCCTCTGCTGGTTAACTATAACCCATTATTTAACATCCATCTGATTTGGGAAGTCTTCCCTGACTGCCTCTCCCTCTCCCCTCCTATGCCTGAGATGGATGCCCTTTATCCCATGCATACCATACTGATAATTGCCCGGTGTTTCTTTGTCTCCACTACTGGACGTGAATGTGCACTCCCTAAGGGCAGAGGCATTCATGATTCCTCTTTGTATCCTCAGTGCCTGGCATAGAGTAAGCAACTAATTCATTTCTGTTGACTGGCTAAATGAATGAATAGGAAGGAAAAAGGTTGGCTTTTAGATACGTAAAATGGGCTGAAGTGTTCTCAACATAATTTTGACTTAGCATAAGGTCTGTATGTCAATATATCTATTCTCATATGCCTGTTTGCTTTTTACCATGTATACTATGAATACTGTGTTCTATTCCTGTTAAAAATGTATTCTGCATTTGGTTTTTAGGTTAAAGCCATTCACATCCATTCTGACATGTTCTCAGTTCAAAATGGCTTGCTGACACCAACACTAAAAGCTAAGAGACCTGAGCTGAGAGAGTACTTCAAAAAACAAATAGAAGAGCTTTACTCAATCTCCATGTGAAGTTCAAGGAAAGTTCTTCTCAGTATAATGGACTGTGTAGCAATATTATAGTTATTCTTGAAAGTAATGAGTCAAAATGACACATCTGAAAATGAATAAGCATCTGATTTTATGACTGAGCCTTTTCCTGTCCCAAGAGGTCTTTAACAATATTTTCTCTATCATCAATGAGTACACTTTATTTTTATTATTAAAATGATATTGTAGCGGGCTGCTAAAAATATCACAAATGGCAATGTAAAAATCAAGACATTTTCTCAAGAACTGTGTACCACTAAAAGTAATATATTCTCAATGTTCACGGAACTCCTATTAAACATAAAGGAAAAACATAAGTGATATATTGTACTTAATTATTTGTGAAATAGTAACCAGATGCAGTAAATATCTAGGCAGTGCGGACTACCTCATTCAATAACTGATTGTCAAAATCACAATTAAATCAGACTTCAAAAATTAAAGCTAGGTGTACAGAATCATGCTAAAACAAAACATGATAACTCATAGTCTATGTAACTTCAGATTCTTTAAACACGACAATCCATATTGTCATATGTGAAAGTTTTCTATCTGATTTTTACTTTCATTCATGAAAAATGCAAATTCAGAAATTCTTTTTTTTTTCTTTTTGTTTGGAGACAGGGTCTGCTCTGTCTCAAAGGAGTGCAGTGGCTCAATCATGGCTCATTACAGTCTCCATCTCCTGGGCTCAAGCGATCCTCCTGTCTCACCTCCCAAGTAGCTGACACTACAGGTGCATGCCACCACACCTGGCTAATAGAAAATCTTTTTTTTAGGTATTTTGTTCAGGCTGGTCTCAAGCTCCTGAGCTCAAGGGATCCTCCCGCCTTGGCCTCCCTAAGTGCTAGGATTACAGGCATGAGCCACTGTTCACAGCCAAATTCAGATATTATTGAAACACATGTCATATTTATATAGTAACTTACAAAGACCTTTCAATACGTTTTCTCATTTATTAAGCTCATTAAAATATTCAGGAACTATCTAGAAAAAATATAATGGAAAACTATTCAAGGATAGTATGTATATGTTCATGGACTTCTTATCATAATGAATTCTAAAAGACATCTGTTGACTCTACAATGAATGGATCCTTGAGGAAGACTTGGGAGAAGAAACTCAGAGTTATTTCTCAGGGTAGGCAGCAATTAATGTACCTATATTCCTTGCTGGGGTCTTCTAGTTTTCCATTCCCAATGTGCCCACGCTATGCCTGGAAACCCTATATGGTTGTAATTCTGAACAATTTCACTTTTTTCCAGTAAGAATATCAGGGCAGAAGGTGGGAAGGAGAGGATATTATTTCCAGGGAAAATAGTTTTTCAACAATATAACTTGATAAACCTCTTTAAAATGCCCCAAGAAAACTTTTTAAGTCCATAGACAAAGAAATACTACCTAATGGCATAATTCCATTCTTAAAATCTTTAGAAGTGCCCAAGTTTACCCACTAAAACCTCCTTTCTTGCATTATGTATTTAGACCCACCCTGTATTGGGGCGTCAACAATTTCATATAACTAAAGTCCAGATACCATGGACAGCAATTAAGTGCCAAACTATAGATTGTGCCTCTGAAAAATGAATGGATCCCAGGAAGCTGTTTTTCTTCTGTAGAGACAGGACTCTAACAGCATATGAACAATCCATATGCAATTCGTGTGTTAATTTAAAATATACATGCTCAGTGTTTGTAGTCTAGAAGCTCCTTTCCCTTGGAGCAATGCCAAGCAGTTTGCAAAAATAAATGCTGTTAGTTAAAAACCTCATAATCACATGGGCCTACTGAATAAATATGCATCAGTGATTATATACTTATATTTCAGTCTTGTCAAAAGTGAATCACAGTTTCATTTGATGTATTTACCCAGTCTTTTTATCCAGTCGTTCTTGGGCATATTCTCTGAAGACCCACTGTTGCACTTCTAAATTTGACATTTAAGAAATGAGCTAGTTCTATACACACTGATTTTTAAAGGCGTTTCTGAATAAGCTAATACTTAAAATGTCCAAAGTCGCATCTGTATAGCATTAGATTTTTATATTTAATATATATTTGACTAATTAAAAGTGAAAATTGTTACCTGAACTGGATATTCATACTATTTTAAGGGCAAGTTGCTTACATTTCAATAACAACAAAAAAAGAAGCTGTTTCTCATTGTCCTCCTACTCAACTAAAATTTCATAGTTGACTTTAAGCCCAAAAGAATTTTGGACAATGTGACATAAACAAATAATTTAAAACTTATTTTGTTTTATTTATACTTTATAATAGATATGACTGATTATGGACAACTTAAGATTTCTTCTTTTTGGCCAGGCACAGTGGCTCACGCCTGTAATCCCAGCACTTTGGGAGGCCAAGGCGGGCAGATCACAAGGTCAGGAGATCAAGACCATCCTGGCTAACACGATGAAACCCTGTCTCTACTAAAAAAATACAAAAATTAGCTGGGTGTGGTGGCGGGTGCCTGTAGTCCCAGCTACTCGGGAGGCTGAGGCAGGAGAATGGTGTGAACCTGGGAGGCGGAGCTTGCAGTAAGTCGAGATTGTGCCACTGCACTCCAGCCTGGGCCACAGAACAATACTCCATCTCAAAAAAAAAAAACAAAAAAAACCAAAAAAAAAACCAAAAAACAGATTTCTTCTTTTGCCACTTAAAAGACCTTATATTTCTAGATTTCCAGGTCTATGTGGAAATCATCACACTTGGGCCAATAAATGGGTTAGTTGAGATGTGCTGAGAAAAGTAAATAGTGTACCCTAAATATATTGCATGTACATTTATCTATTTCTCTGTTTAATGCCACTTAATTTTGTAAGAAATGAGAAATGAAACCCTATGTATCAATGGAAAAATCCTTCTTGCTTCAGATTTCCCAACTTTATTCTGGAGGAGAAAAAAATTTGTATTTCTCATTAACAAAGATAGAAAAAGGTGTTGTACTTATGATAGTCACATTCATATTGGGCATCAGATCCTATTTAAGCCTAGAAGTATAATAGAGAATCAGTTCCTTAAGTGTAAATATGTTCTTAAATGTTTGGCCTTTTTATCTGTTATTCAAATGTATTAGTAATTCTCGTATTTTGCAAACAGATCCTTTTGTGTATATTATAAAATATATACCAAATCTGTTTTTCCCTTTGCTGTGGAAGATGTCTTTATATAATATTGAGACTTTCCTTGCAAATGGGAGAGGAGACTCTGGTCAGGTATAGTATGTAGGCCTAACCCCATGTATTAGGAACT